GGACTCAGGACAAGTTGCAACTAAAATAAAGGCTACACTAGCTTAGTCTGTATACGATTTATGGAAGTGCATTGTTATTGTTTTCGGATGTTCTGCATCCTAATCTATCCATCTCTCTACACATCTACCTCGCTCCATTACTAGTTCATACTGGATCACCACACGTTAGCCCTGAGCCTCTGTTAGATGCTATCGTGAAATCTCGCTTTCGCCTTCAACCTAAACCGGACCTCGCCACGAACCTCGCCATGGCCAAGACGGTCAACAAAAATGATGTCCTGGCCTCGCCGGGACCCAGAACGCTAGACTCTCCCAAGTCGCTGAAATCCATCTTCTTGCCAAATGAGTCGGGCTTTGAGCCTGGATCTGGGGTCAAAAAGGGCACTCTGGAGGATGATCGTTATGCTGGACCAGTTTGGGGTAACAGCCAAAGCCAAGGCAAGCCGCCTGAGGCTACTAGCGCTTCTTCGTGCCGATCGGATCCTGACTACGGTAGTTGGACGGGGCCAACTGATCCGTTGGCGTCACAACCTGGGGAGCAAGCGACAGAACCGACTTCCACGCCCAGTGCCTCGAAGTTTACGATCCCTTCTTGTTGTTTGCCCAACGCAGAGGTTTCTGCGGCAGTGAATAACGCCATCAACGCCTTCGCGATCGCCAATGTGTCAGTCAGAAATTCCATTGCCTCGAATTATCATGATGTCAGCGCCACGAGACTTGGGGACGAGGGTTCGAGGCGAGCGCAGAGTGGGGCGCCAGATTTCACTTTGGCCGGAGATTTCGGAGGCGATCAGTTGTCCTCATCTGCCAACGGCTGTAAAGAATATCGCCCACTTTGCCCTAGTGGATCAGACGAAAAATTGGGTGAATTGAACTCGTTTTCTATCGTCTCAATAGCATTTCGAATGACCATCTCTCAGAGTGCAGCAGCAATTCCTATTACTTAATTAGCCGGCCAATTTTTATTTGCTGAATGAGTCTCTTATTTCTCCAACTAAAATGATATAGTATTGTTATGCTTGAAGAGTCTAATAAGCTATTATAAGTTGAATTAAGTATTGTTTTCGTGACTATCAGTGAATCAGTAGTATGAGATGTATTCACCCAATTTCATTTAAGGTGATGAAGGACTGGTAGAAGAAGAATTTT